TTCTTTTATCAAGCAATACTAAATAACTAAATAAAAACGGTTAAGGTGATAATAACATTTTGCAAATAACTTGGATGGATAATATATTAAATTAAAGTACAGTTCTAGCTACAATTATTTATTTAAGGTCACTACATAATATTAGGTTTTTTTTACAGTACAATTCTAATTGGAAATTACAAATATGGTGTAGCTTTTAAAAAACATTCCATCCAGGATAAGTAGTTGAGGTGACTTTATAATGAAAAAGTAGTATCATTCAAATAAATTGAGTCGAAATCGTGACCGCACATTGACACGATTTTGTTGTATAAATAGAAGTAGTATCATTCAAATAAATTTTGTTGTATAAAAACAATTAATAATAGATTATTTTAAAAATACACTGGCACAATGTATTGATACATCTTTAATAAAGTTTATTTAAATAAACTATTAATCATTATTTATAAGAACTGTTAAAGTTATAACAAAAAATAATAATAAAGATTGTCCTATATATTCGTTTCGTTTTAAATTATGCACAAAAATCATTAATAACTGAATTATTTTATGGTAAGCATGATTTTGGTTCCATCAAAGCTTTTGGTTATTTATTTATTTTTTCAGAATAAGATTGGGTGTGTCTTTTGAAAAAATATTTCTGGAAGTAATTTAATGCATTCTGAGAAATAAAATTCGAACTGAGATGTAGGAAGAAATTTGATTGATACAGGAAGCAACAGCCAAAACTGACATGCCTAGGAGCCCAATTTACTGAGCACGACCCAAAAGAGCATACACGATTCCGAGTTGGATTATTTACGATTTACTCATTGTCACAGCCAAACTAATATTCAACCTTTTATTTTTCCGAACTACCTAACATTGTTTTTGTTGGTAATATTGCTCATTCCACACCAGTGCATTGTCGTTTAAACATTGCCACAGAACAAAAATCATGGATAACTGTTTGTCCTATGTAAGTTTTTTAATCATCATGCTCTCTCAAGCTTATAAATAACATGTTTTTTTCCTGTTTATAAATATAGAATCCGGTTTGTACTTGAGCTTTCGTTCATCCGTAGCATGCTGGTGTTGGTGAATGAAGCACCAGGCAATGGTTGCTATTCTACAACTTAATTAATTTCAATGATTCTCACAAAATAATATCTGATGATAACTAAGAACGATACTTTAATATAGACGCTTCCAATGGCCATTTCCATCAGTGTGCTTCAAAGCAATAAATTATCCAACTGTTAAAGTCAGAGTGCAGTTGCTGAAAGTTACCCCGATCCCACCATATTTATGTGAATCGACATGGTCATGGTTAGTACAAACAAATGGCTACTGGTGAGGGAAAACCTGATTCAATGGTTGTTTTGTTGCAAGTTCAGTTTGTCCATTAAGATATGAGTTCTTGGAGAGTGAGGCCAATAGAGTAGTTAACTGGTGGGAAGGGTTTTCAGCCATGTTGGTAGCTGTGCCGGTTGGAATACGAGGATTTCCAACCATTGGAATGAACGATGCATGAGAAATGGGCATGGTCGGAACTTGGTTTGGGAAACGGAACATATGAACTCTGTTGTCAGTGATTGCAGGCAAAGGTATCGTAGCGAACTGAGGCAGATTGCAAGGGATGGTTGTGCCTGACCTTAACCCCATTTCAACTCCCATTAACTGCTGCAAATGGGGTGCGTTCATCATACCATGACCAGGTAACATCATAAAAGGCATGCAAAATCCGCCACCCATTTTCATAATCTGCATCACAAAACTAAGCTTAAAACATCCATGTAAAAATGACTGTCTATTTAACACAAGGAATGAAACTAATTTGACAGACGTAAAAGACTTAAAAGGTACCTGTAACTGAAGCTTGAGGGTCTTAAGATATTCAATGGCATCATCAAGCATTGAAGCTTTATCAGTCTGAGATACAAAATGGACACAACAATGTATATGGAATTAAAAAACAAGCACAATTTTCAGAAAAGGAGAGGGGGCAATTGTATGTATCCAAAGTCCAAACCTTGTTGCAGTTGGGTATGAGCTCCCTCAATATATGCATCCTCTTGTTTATCTTATCTCTTCGTTTCTGCAAACATCAACAACAGTAACATGTTAATAAAGAATCTAATAATTTCTTAAACTGTTTCTTGTCATCACCCAAATGTATGTCCCTCACCCTTTCACACAAATTATGAACTTCTGCATTCCTACTTCTCTTCACTCCTGTGCCTTCCCGAGCAGGCTTTTCCTTCACTACATCTTCTGCTTCTTCATAGTTCTGCACCGAGTCATCGATGTCATCATGTTTCCTACCACAGACGTTTCTGTTGTTTGAGGCTCCAAGAGAGCATACGGAAGAAGATTCTAACAAGCCTTCATCACTGTACTTTGTTTCAGCTTTTCCCTTTCCTTCAAAACCTACCGAGCTTGATTTTTGGTTACGATGCAGACCCCGAGATCCGCGAACAACAAGACCACTGTTATGACCAACAGCTGGAGATTGCTCATCAGGAACAAGGTTTGATGCATCAGAACTCAAAGGGTTTTGGCTTTCGACTGATCCATTACACGAATTTATCACTGAGGAATGCTCAGAACCTTTGCTGCTAGAAGCAGCCTTTGAAAACTCAGCTCTTTTAATCATGTGTACTCGTTTTAAAGGAAGACGAAGACAAGAACTTTGTTCAAAATTTGGTTGTAAATTGTTCACAGCAGAATCCCTTTGAACTGGAAAGTACAAGAGGAGTAGGGTGAACTAAACCTTGCACTTTTTGCATTGAAGACACCTTCATCAATTGCTTTTATTGAATTTTCAGACGAGGGAGACGATGAATCTTTTTGCGACCATTTTCTCATATCAGTTCAAGGGAACCTTTACCATAACTGGAACAGAATCACAAACTTTTGCTATAAACGAAAAAGAAGGAAGAGAAAAAGAAAGAAACAGAAAAGTGCATGAATATAAAAAGCGAAGAAAATCCAAAGCATGAAGTTACAAGGAAGCTAGATAATAGGAGCTTGAACTCATCCCCCGGTCGGGTGGAATCAGACATAAATTATAATATCTTGGCTAATAACAATTTTTAGCACTGCAAGAATACTTAATTTCTTTCTTTTAGAATTGTGAAGTAAAAGAAGAAAGAGCGGCAGTGATGAAAAGCAAGATCTGACTAAGATTAATTGTGAAATGAATGTATAGTGGTCCTTCTTATTATTAAGGTTAGCAATGTGAAATTCAACTGCTGTCACATCTTGTCCACAAACTTATAGTTATCCTGTCTGTCATATGTTACAGCAATTAATTGGGTTGAAAAATATTTGTGGTGCAGGGGATGAGGTGTACCATTGCCAATTTGTTTGGGCGGCAAGTAGCTGAAAGTTATTGGAATTTAATATGTGAATTTTTTTATAAATTAATATCGAAGAAAAGCGAGAATGTGTCAAAGACTATATAAATATTTAATATAATTAAATTTAAAAAATTATTTTATAATTTTAAATTTAAAAATTAAAATATATCAAATTTAAACAAAAATAAATCTCAAATTTACTTTAAAATTAAAGACTAAATACTTATTTAATTTTTGTTTTTCCTTTATGTGTCATCAGTGTTTTCCAATTTGATTATTGCTTATCAGGTGACTTTTTTCTCATTTAACATACAAATAACTACTACTTTTAGAGCTGATAAGATAATTTTATATCGATGGTCTCATATTATATCTATATTAAGATACTTAATCTCTTTTTAGTTTTAAGAATATACTCAGATTGATAACTTTCTAAATAAAAATTAAATATGTTTTTATTTTTAAATTATCATTCAATTTTGGTTTTTATATTTGTATATGAAATTTTATTCGATTTTTATATCTTTCCGTTTAGAAAGTTCAAGACTTAGTTCTTCATTACAAAAATCTTAGTATTTTAAAGGTGTGTCATGTTATCTTTTCCTTTTTCGAAACGTGTCAATCTTTCATGCTTTATTTACACAAGATACTTTTCTTTTTTTTCTGGTTCACAAGTCAGTTACTCAATCAAATAGTCACTCTTTACCGAACCACCCACTCAACTCCAATAGAGACCTTAAAATAAAAATTAAAAAAAAAAAAAAAAACCAAAATTAAAAAAAAAAAAAAAATAATAAAAAAAAAAAAAAAAAATAATAGAAGAAAGAAAAAAAAAAAAAAAAAAAACAAAGGAAATAGGAAAAAAAAGGAAAAAAAACAAAAAAAAAAAAAAAAAAAAGAAGAATTAAAAAATTAAAAAAAAAAAAAAAAAAAAAAAAAAAAAAATAAAAAACAAAAAAAAAAAATAAAAAACAAAAAAAAGAAAATAAAAAACAAAAAAAAAAATAAAAAAAAAAAATAAAAAAAAAAAAAAAAAAAAATTTAAAAAAAAAAAAAAAAAAAAAAAAAAAAAAAATTAAAAAAAAAAAACCAAAATAAAGTGATAATTTAATAACGAAAACATATTTAACATTTTAAATATAAAATACAAAGATACATGTTCCTTAAGTTTTTAATAATATATCACACTTACATTTTATTTATTTTTAAATAAACATTCTCATATCTTATATTTGTTTCTAATAAAATAATATCTATATCCACTCATGATTTAATAGACATTACTGTAATGAACTTGACACTTATCTCTCTTTTTTATTTAAGAATATTCAACAAATAATAAAATAAAACATTAGAAAAAAAAAAGTATATATATATATATATATATATATATATAAGATTATTTATGTACATCCAAAACAGTAATTAATAATTGATAGATGAAAACATAATAAATTTATAAAATATATGATGCGCTAAAAAAAGTTTAATAAATATATATAAATAAAATTGTATATTTATTATTACTCAATTATTTTAATTTAGAGAGAAGGTGAAATTCACGTGGTAATCACAGTGGATTCACGTGTCCTAACGTCTCCTTGTCTGTACTTTATTTGTGTTGTCAGGACTGTCTCTCTAATCCTGTTTCCTAACACCCTAATAAAAATAATAATAATCAAAGTAAAC